AATAACCTGATTACTCCTCAACCTGGTGCCATTTACAGGTGCCAGATAGCCCTTCTCTGGATTTTCAGTCAACTGAGAATTTTAATACAGGTAGTCCTCTACTTACAATGTTTCATTTAGTGACCATTCAAAGTTACTACGACCATTTTTCACACTTATAGCCATCGCAGCATCCCCATGGTCAAAACATGATCAAAACTCAAACGATTGGCAACTGACTCATATTTAATGATGGGTTCCAGTGTCTCAGGGTCATGTGATCACTTTGAGACAAGCAAAGTCAATGGGAAAGCCAAATTCACTTAGCAACCATCTGACTCACTTAACAACTGCAGTGATTCACTTGACAGCTGTGGCAAGTAAAGTTGTAAAATGGGACAAAATTCACTTAACAAATGTCTCACTGTGTTGATGTTGTTGTTGTTAGTTGCAAAGTCATGTCCGATCCATCGCGACCCCATGGACAATGGCCTTCCTGTCCTCTACCAACCTCTGGAGTTGATTTAAGCTCACGCCTACTGCTTCGGTGACTCCATCCAGCCACCTCATTCTCTGTCATCCCCTTCTTTTGCCCTCAATCTTTCCCAGCATTAGGCTCTTCTCCAGTGAGTCTCACTTAGCAAATGAAATTTTGAGCTCAATTGTGGTCATACGTCGAGGACTACCTGTAACATCTGTCTCATTATCTGTGAGGGTTAAAAAATGGCCATTTATGCAAATCAAGCAATGTAAACTGTTGCCACTCATGGCAATTTGAAACAAGATATATTGTAGGACACATATAACTCAGTCCTGCTGCTGGACAGCCACTGGTCTGGAAAGGTATGGGGTCTCTTGCTTAAGTAGAGGGTTGGACTAGAGTAGGGGTCCCCAAATCTGGCCCACGGCCTACCTCCAGGCCTTGAGCCATTCGGAATCAGGCAGCAGAAGTGGTGGGTGAGCATGCGTGCATGCATATCTCCACTTACGTGCTTGCCCACCACATGGACGGAACCATCTCCTCTTCCCCTGCCACCCACCTCCCGCCAGTCAGCAAAGCCCAAAATGTTGAGGAACTCCAGACTAGAAGACTTCCAAGGTCCCATCCAACTCTGTTATTCTGTTCTGTTCTTTTATTTGTTCAGGTTTCGGCTTCTTAAATATAAAGGGAGACGATATGTTTAAGAAATTTTTGAACCTGGATGGTTATTCCCTCACATTTGTGGTGGACACGACCGGCAGCATGTCAGACGACATCAATCAAGTCAAAACCAAATGCATCGAACTCCTCCGAACATATTCTGGCTCTCCGGATGCACCTTTTAATTACATTCTTGTGCCCTTTAATGACCCCAGTAAGCAGGCAGTAGAAGATTGTGATTCCTTCTGATTTATTATCCCTTTTAGGCTGGAATTGCCTTCCTTCTTTTGCTCAGGTTTTTTCCCCCCCAGAGAATCCAAGTAATGTTATGGTCAACTAGAAGGGATTATTTAACAATATGGAATGCAGCTTCTTCCTTTTTTAATAAGAACAGGAGCAATTACATCTCTGCTGGGCTGACCAGTGTTAAAGTGACAGATCGTCCTTCAGCAGAAAGTGAACCAAGAGTTCACAAAACTCTCCCAATGTCTCATGATTTGTTACCACTCAATGCAGAGGAAGGAGGGAAATTAGGGAAATGATCGGGAGGAGGATTAAAAACTTGAATTCTTCCCTTAAATGGGGAAGTTAATAGTTGGTCTATTTTGAGAACATTTGCATTTGAAACTGAAAGAGAAAGAGCACAGCAGATCTTCAATTAAGGTCATGTAGTTTATAATCAATAGTAAAAATGAACAATTTTATTGGTTTTTAAAATATAACAGTAATTTTTCACTACTTGTCTTATTTTTCTTTGTATTTTATGTTTTGAAAAACCAATAAAATTAGATAGATAGATAGATAGATAGATAGATAGATAGATAGATAGAT